GGTATCTGTGTCTGGAAAGCAGTCAAGAATTGCCCTGTTCCATCGGACGCTCCAGTCCGAGGGGATTTGCAGCAGAACCTTAGCAGCCCACTGACGGGTAAACACACAAAGCTAGAGTCCAGGCCCAGAGGGAAAACTTAGGTTACATTGACACCTAGTGGAGTTTGCATTAGATCAGGCAGCATCCTGGGAGCTCTTTTGTGTATCTCGGTTAATTACTGTCATGCTCAGAGTGCACTCAGGACAATCCACTCCAGGTGGGCACAGAAATCTAAAAGAGGCTTTTCTCCTCCCCAAGGAATCCATTCCAGGTGGAGACAGAAATCCACGTTGTTCTCGTTCTTCCACGTGAAGGAGGGGACAGAAAGTGGGAGAGAGACTGAATTTCTGTGCCCGTCTGGAGTGGATTCCAGCAACGCTGGCTGTGCAAACGATGGCACAAACAAACTCCAGGTGGCGCAGCGATTTGCTTACTTCAGCTGCCTGTTCAGTGCAGCCCCCGACTGTTTTCTGGAAGGCAGCAGCTGGGTAGAGCGCTAGGAAAGAGGGATTTGGGTTTCAGATAGGAGAGTGGCATGTGGTCCCAAGAAAGGGCAATAGAAAGAGGGTTCAGATAAAGGATGCCCCACGTATACGAGGTATTTCCACAGACCCTCTAGGGCCACTGACATTGATTTTAACATGAAAAGCTTAGAGCACATTGGACACAAGAAACCCTGCGGCCGAACCCATCATAGAGACTGTTCCTACCCCACCCTTTGCCATTCCTTCTTCCCCTCCCCCCGACTGTCCTATCACAACCCACCACAGTTTGGTTTGGTGTCATGTTTTTATGTAGGGTAATATTCCAGGGAACACAGAGTTGGAGGCTGTGGTGAATGAAAGGCGGGAAGAGCATTCAGAGAATCAAAGAGTTAGACACTGTGTAATAAACCCATGGAACTCACTGCCATGGGGTATTAGGGGGGCAAACAACTTAGTAAGATTCACTATTGCACTGGACACATATAAATTAGAATGGAATCTGAAGTTTACACTAGCTGGGGTAAAAAACCAAGCACTGCCAATCCTCATGCTTCAGGGCATAGGAAGATTGTCAGATGGGGGTCAGGAAGAATCTCCCCGTCTTTCTCCAAGGGATGTTATTGTACAGTTAGATGTTTGAATGGGATTAACATCTTCCGTCGGCGACTGAGCACTGTTGGAGAGAGTGAACTGGACTAGCTGGACCAATGATCTGTTATGGTGCGGCAGGAGATGGGATCCCAGAATAGATAGGCCATTGGTATGACCTGGAATGGTGGGAAGTTGGAATAGTTGGACCGTCGCTCTGTTCTGGTGTGTCGGATGTGGGCTCTCAGAACAGATGCACAACTGGTCTGTTGGGTTGTGGAGGGAGGCAGGATATTGCTCTCGCTAGGCCACTGGTCCATTTTGCTGCATCACTTCCTTCGTCTCTGCTGTACTTGTTTTCTAGCACACAAGTGGCTTTACCAAGAGCTCGGGGATCACTTACTGCTGAAGTACCTGTCCTGGACTATGTACCCGATTGCCCTGTCCGCCTTCTCCACTGGCTTCTCTCAGAGCATCACTCCGCACTCGGGAGGTGAGTCTGATGCGCTCACAGGTCACAGAGGAGCCATCTTATTAATAACAACCATCCCTTTGTCCCATAGCTCCTGGTGTCTCTTCTGGAGTCAAGCCCCAGGCTACTGACTACCCAACCTGATATCATGTGCTTCAGGGGTGACCCTTCTGTTGCACCGCGGGCTCATGCTGACCAACATCATGGTGGGGACAGTGCAGCCAGGGCCGGCTCCAGGCACCAGCCTGGCAAGCAGGCGCTTGGGGCGGCTGCTCAGGAGAGGGGCGGCACGTCCAGCTATTCGGCGGCAATTCGGC